TCTCTCCTTCTCTCCTTCCTTCCCTCCTTCCTTCCCTCCTTCCTTCCCCCCTTCCTTCTCTCCTACATTCCCTCCTTCCTTCCCTCCTTTCTTCTCTCCTTCTCTCCTTCTCTCCTTCCTTCCTTCCTTCCCTCCTTTCTTTTCTCCTTCTCTCCTTCCTTTCCCCCTTCCTTCCCTCCTTCCTTCCCCCCTTCCTTCTCTCCTACATTCCCTCCTTCCTTCCCTCCTTTCTTCTCTCCTTTTTAATTAAAAAAAAACTCCTCTATAGATCTTATTTTAATGCTTGACTGTTGCATCTGATGAAGACCAAATCTGGCTTCCCTGCCGGAATTACGGGGAATTTTTGTTCTTCTGTCTTGCAGGCGATTGCCGTGTATGCATCTCTTCCACCAAGTGTGTGTCGACCAGTGGCTGGCAAACAGTAAGAAATGCCCCATCTGCCGAGTGGACATTGAAACACAGCTCGGGTCGGACAGCTGAAATGAACCGCCAGGCGGGGTGGGGGCATGTGAAGCTGCCCCCCCCCCTCCGCTCTCTTTTCGTGATCCTTACGGGGCCGTTGGGCCCTTTGACGCAAAATGTTTTGCCTTCTGAGCCATTTGAGTCTTTTTTTAAAAAAGAAAGTCTGCAAAGCACATTCACAGATTATTTAATTCAATCAATCAATCAATCAATAAAAAAGGAGGACAAGAGGAGGAGGAGGAAGAAGAAGGGTGACGACGACGAAGATGATTTGAGGGTTAAAATATCTAAACGTGGGAAGGGAGCCGAGCTGCATGCGTGGGCTTGACGTGCAGAGGGAACACAGCTCAAACGCCCGGCGGGAAGAGCTAGTGGTGAAAAATGAAGGTACTTTAGCGGCTCAACCTTGGCCTTCCAATCCTACTTCTCAAAAGGGTTGTATATATATATACCTCTTGAATAAGTAGACATGCATTAGGGGTTCCTTAGCTATTTCTTATGGAGGCTGTCAGAGCATGTGCGCTTCAGAGATATTGTATTTTGATGCCCCATTAGCTTGTGATGGAAATGTCGCTGTTATATAATCTGCACCAAACACTGCATCGGGGGGTGTGAGGGGGTGTATTTTTGGCTTTGGCTTTTGGTTTTTTTTCCCAGTTTCGTTTCACTTTCTTCTTCTTCTTTTTTTTTTTTGACGTGGTCCTTGAGGTTTTTGGTTTTGGCTGAAACATGGTGAGAAGAAAAATATATATATATGTCACGAATGAAGGCAAATATTATACGTGTCCCGGGATAATGTTGCAGGACCCAATCCGAATCGGTCACCGGGATGAGAGTTTTAATCTTCTGAGCGTTCGGACTCGTGCTGGAACCCATCCTCGTGGAACTTTTTTCTCTATTGGAATATGTGCTTTGGGCCCTTATGTGAGTCATATTTATGTGGTGGCTTCCTATTGGTTGATTTGGGGGTGTTGATGGCTGGCGATTGGCTGTTTTTTTTCCTGTGTTGCCAAGCTCCTAAGTATATGATAAGCCGGTGGTAAATCAGCATTCCTGTTGACTGACAAAGAGCCCGTTTCCCAGGCTTTAATTACTTCTCTAGCTATTTTTGTCCCTGCTCAACCAACAATCAGAGTAGCTGTGAAATTGAATGCATTGAAAGTTTTGAGTTTCACTGCGTTTCACTGCAATGTGAGGCTACCAATTAGTTCGAGTCTCCTCGTCTAAGCACTGTTCTCACAATTTGATGGGTTAGCTTTCTCTCCATCTGTCCTACATAGTCACAGAAGCAATCTAAGCTGGGAAACTATTCCCAGAGAAGCCTGGGAATGGGCCGTTTGTCAGTCAACAGGAGTGTTAATTTAATGCCACCTTAAGAGCCATGTAGGGATGCCGTGGCTGAGACGCTGAGCTTGTTGATCAGAAATGTCAGCAGTTCGGCGATTCGAATCCCTAGTGCCGCGTAACAGAGTGAGCTCCTGTGACTTGTCCCAGCTTCTGCCAACCTAGCAGTTCGAAAGCATGTAAAAAAGGCAAATAGAAAAAATAGGAGCCACCTTTGGTGGGAAGGTCACAGCGTTCCGTGCGCCTTCAGTGTTTAGTCATGCCGGCCACATGATCACGGAGACAGCGCTGGCTCATCAGTTTTGAAATGGAGATGAGCACCGTCCCCTAGAGTCGGGAACAACTAGCACATATGTGCGAGAGGACATATGTGCGAGAGGAAGCTTTACCTGTACTTAGGGGAATCTTGGAGCCAAGTGCTTGGCAGCCAGGGGTGGGTTTCAACAGGTTTGCGGCGGTCCCCATGAACCGGTAGGTTGGCGAACCCGGAAATAAGTAACTTCCGGGAACGGCGAAGGGCCCACCTACCCGCCCGCGTTCCTTACCCGGTTTTGACAAGTTCTGCGCCTCCACACATGCGCAGGACGCACACAGCGCCTGCGCAATCCTCCAGGAGCAGCTGGAGCATCGCACAGATGCTAGTACGTATGCGTGCGCTGCGCGCGTGCACGAGGACACCGCCAGCCCCGTTCCAACTGAACCGGTTGGAACGGGGCGAGAAACCCACCCCTGTTGGCAGCACAAGGAAACAACAGCCAAC